CCCACAGAATGTGTTAATGCCAATTACTGATTTCAGTAAAATCTTTCAACTTTTAAAATTTCAAGCAAGCTTAATTCCTGTAAATTGTAGCATTTATTATGTCACACAATTTACCAATGTTTTGAATGAAAAATAAGAGAGAAAACAGTGACATTAGCACACGTTGTGAGTGGCTAATTTGACTATTAAATAACAAATTGGCTACATATGTATACTTGAGTCTCCAAAAGTCAATGGTTAAAATTCCACACATACCTCAGACAAAGTTCCGTCCCCTCCTGCAACCACGATGATGTCTGTATCTTTGAGTTTAGCTGCCAATGATCGAGCTTCGCCTTCACTCTCAGTCATGATGACGTCCACCGAGTACCCGGCAAGATGTAGGAGTGGCGCACAGTACTTCTCATAGTTGGCCTTAGCTTTCCTGGTGTGACAGATTGTTTCTTCCAATACAGTTTGATTGCAAAGATAAATACCAGTCTTGTAAAATTACCGGTTTTTACTATACAGCAGAGTTTAGCGAGTATGTTAAGCAAGATGGCCACAAGAGAAACAAAAAACCGTTATCACTGATCTTTAAAAGACTGGTTGCTTTTATATACACAATTTTTTTTTTGGGGGGGGGGGCAGTTTGGTAAAGATGTTAGGGGAGTGTTCAGGAAATGGGCTACTTTGGGGAAGAAACATTTTTGTGTATTTTTCTCTTGGGCTTTTCATTAACCCTCCGAGTGTCACGTGTTTTGGCCTTAATGTCAGCCTATTTTTTGCTCATTTGCAAGGTTTTATTAAAACTGATCTGAGAAGCTTAAAAACAATGTTAATTATACTGTTCTATATACCATTTTGTTTGGAAAATCTTGGGCTTCAATATTATATATAAAACATAAGGAAGATTTTATTAAAAAAATTTTTTTAGGTAAAAAAATGTATAATTTCGAAAATTTAAAAAAAAAAATAAGTTTGCGCTCAATGAAATTGTATAAATTATAGGCCTATAAATATTCGAAAATAGCCACTTTGTTCTAAATTTTATGAGGATTACAAATATATAATAATATAAGGAAGTAGATTTGCAAATAAATAAGTTATGGGCAAAAAACAGATTTCAGTACATAGCGTTTAGCTAAGAATGCATAGCCCAACCATAGCTAGGAATCTGGCTGATAATTTACATCAATATCACTACCTACTTCTTCAGGATCATCAACCAGCACTTCAAAACCACTTAAATCTTCTTATAATGCACCACGTATATCACTACTTTTGATTTTTAACACTAAAACAATGATAAATGTAATAAAACACGATCAGTCATCGGTCCGAGGGTAACCTAGCTGTTTACAAATACACGCACGTCAGCTCAGTCAGCTGTCTGCTACAATATTTTCGGAACTAAAATGAATAGTGCTTAGAGACAGACCTCTGGAGAAAGCTTAGAATATTACGGAAAGAACGATACCTTAACTCAATCCAGTACAGTCTGATTCAGTTAGTCATAGAGCCTTCGCCGTAAACAGTGTTCGCGAGTCGCTGTAGCGACGCACGACACTATACAAAGTGCGTTACGCGTCGCTGCAGCGACGCATGACACTCGGAGGGTTAAAGTGACTTGGTGACATTTTCCAGACTAGATACCTTTACTTTCATGACTATTTTTTCTTCCTTGTTCAACTTTTTGGGCAGGGAATAAGGTTGATTTTTTAGAGTTATAGTATGATTACTATGGTTTAAGTCTTCAAAGGGAAAAACCTCAAGCATAGCCTCCACATTCAGATATGGAACACACTAAATATTTCTCTAGGATGAGGTCCTAGTTTTCTCTGCTACCAGTAACTTAGATGGATTATTACAAACAATATTTAAGCTTCCTAGGTTTTTATTTGTATTTCACACATAGGCTACATACTAAAGATTGTTTTGGATTTGATTTTGTGGTTGGTTATTTAATTTATAACTCTCAGATGATATCTTGGTTTGCAAAGTGATGGTACATCAATGAAAAAATGACACATAAAACAAGTCTTCCCTAAACTGAGCTTCTGGTTTCTTTACTGACTTCAATGTACAAGCATAGAGCTAACTATCCCTCACTAGCTCAGATGCCTACCTTCGGTTTGCAGCTGGGTTCAAAATGACTTTAACATTTCGAGGCTTCAATGTTGGAGGTACAGGTATCTCTCCATACTTTGCAGCTTCTTCACATAACGCTCTCATCAACTGCTTTGTTCTGCAAAATACATAACCGTTATAGGTCCGTCACAAGTAGGCCTACTAGTTGAAAGTGTAATCGGTCATCCAAGCCAAGGCAAAGATCAGTCACTGGAACAGTCAATTGCATTCTCCTCCATAATATTCTAAACTTAAGTTAATTGCAGTAAATTATAATATACTACATGTAAGTTGAGCGAATAACACCCCTCACCTACAAACTGTGCTGTTGACTTTTCCCTTACTAGCCTACTTACAAGTATATTTAGCATGACTTTAAGAACCTGAATACTACAAGACCTCTATAGTTCTGACAGCATCATAGATTCAAGATTTATTTCGGCCATTAAGTTGTTTACAATAGGCTTTGTTTAACATATGACATTGTTTGGAGAAATTACTGTAGGCCTACCTACCTCAGTTTATTAATAGCCACTGATTAGGCCCCTATACCTTGTAGCCTAACTAATATAAATAAAGGAACAAATGATTTCTCTATTTTCAAATTGTTCTACATCCACGAAACTTGATGAGATTTTTTATTCTAATAGCCTACAGTGGGTACTCCCTCTTATCCATCTTACACCTTTTAACCGGACTACAATCAGCAGAAGCTACACCTTTTTAACCAAACATTTTTTATCAGCACATCAGTTCAACAAGACTGGATCGACAGGAAGTGGGCGGTAATGAAACAATATACTTAACAATACTCTCCCAAATTTTAGTAAAATATTTAAGTTAAGTTAACATTTAAGTTTTCACACGACTCATGAGTTTTAGGGGACGTCTGTTTAACAGAAGAACCAACCTGTGTTATCCAGAATCACTTCGGTCCCTAAGAGTCCGGATAAGAGGGGTCTACTGTAGGCCTATTTTTGGGGACATAGTCGAAATACTAAAATGTAAGTCTGAATACAGGGTGTTAGCTGTTGCTCACGTCACTTTTTGTTTCTAGGAGCAGGGCAACTTTTATAAATGGGCCTGGGCGCAGGGGCACAAGAGCTTAAGTTTGTTGGGAGCTCAAGGAATTAAGTTAATTGAAGGAAAGAGGGTGGGCGAGAGAGGGGCACAATCATCCCTCGGGCCCATAGCTCATCACATGCAAACCGCGGGCCTGTCTAGGAGGGTATTTCGGTTTTCAGGATTTCATGGTGGTGTTGAATGTGGGCTAGTTTTCTTGTAGGCTAGCCAATAAGAATTCTACTAGACCTAGGTCAATTAACAAATTCTTTATTTAACCTGCTCTGAGTTAGACCAAAGGCCCACTCTTCACCCAGGACAGGGATCCAGGTGTATATATAGCCTATCTTCTAGGTGATGTGTTTTTTTAAGTTTTCAGTGAAAAAAAATTAAGATTAAAATTAAAGATACTTTTATGTTGATTACTGCACGTCCGAGTAAATTATTCGTTACAACCAATCTAATAAAAATAATAGTTGTTAAAAACTTACTGATATTTTTCATAACCATAGTTTGTCCCATACACTACTGCTACTGAGCCTAGGACAGATTTTTTCCAATTGTTTCGAACAATTTTAAAATACTTGGACATTTTCTTATGGTTAGAGGAATCAAATTAAAATATTTCTGCCTTGGTTAATGGACAACAGCCCCGTAACATATCTCTCACAAAACAAAACAATAATTGCTAATAAAAGAGAGAAAGTCAGACTTAACCTAAGTGGAGTGGATGTGGGGCAACAACAAACAGACAACAGCAGTGTTGCCACCACGTTGTTGCGATTTTACCCTAAAGGCGGGCTAAAATTACCCTAAATTACCCTAAATCTACTTTGAGTTACCCTAAAAATTACCCTAAATGTTAATATTTGTGTTTATTGCTATAAAACATTGTTAAAATCATATAAATCCTACATAAGGTGGTTAATTATACTAAATGAAGTTCCAATATCAATCAATTTATGTAAAATTATACTCGATTCTAAAAAAACCACCCGAAAGAAGAACAAAATGTTGATATTGATCAGCTCTATCGACTATCGTATAACGAAAAATGTTGAATCAAGAACTATCGTATTTTTTTACTGTATCGACCCATATTACTACTGTTTTTGGACAATCATATCTTTAAAATACAGTACGGTACCACCAAAGCTTTAATCTATACATAGTAGCCTAGTAATTTCTTAACACAATTTGTAAAATAATTTAGTTTAATTCAATTCAGCCACATAATTAAATATCAAACCCAGTAATGAATAATGTTTCATATTTTATTAGGCCTATAACGTGTTATAGAATCGAATACATTCTAAAACAGATAATTCCCAACTATTGATAAGATCGATTAGGATAACTTATTATGAAAAATTCATCATAGCAATCGATTTAAACCGATTTCGAATATGATGGTTTGGCCATAGTATGTAATGAACGTTTTTTGTCAAATTTTGAAGTTTGTTTTCATTTTTTTAGTACAATTTCCATTGTTATGCTAACTTTTAGTTTTACCCTAAAATTACCCTAAATCTACCATTACCCTAAACTTTACCCTAAGACCAGTAAATTACCCTAGAAAAGGGTAATTACCCTAAAAGTGGCAACACTGGACAACAGTAATTTTTCCACCTCCAACTCAAATATTCTGGCTAAATGGTGGTGAACTTTTTGTCTATTGAGCTACAGAGTTTGTGCAAAACTTATGATTAACGTTGAAACACTACGTTTGTGTTGGTTAGTCTATGGTTATAGCATAGATAAAACATACTCCTCAAGAGGAGTATGTTTTATCTGTGGTTATAGGTTCATGGGCCCTATAATAATTAAGGATGACAAATATATATCCAAAATTACACACATTAAAATCAGCCGGAGAAAATTTTTAGTTTACTTTTACGTGGTTTGTATATAGACTGCACCTTTGGCGTCATGCGTCATGAAATACTCAACCTCAAGCAACAGAAAGCGGCAATCCGGATCAGGACAGGATCCCTTACAGGGCACACTACAAACCAATCTTCTGGAGTCTAGGAACCCATAGTCTACATCTACCACTACTTGGTTGAAGTTTGTGTTAAAATACGCACATAAATAGTGGCGTCCCCATTTTAAATAATTGATAATTGATAAAGTCTGTGTTCCACTTCCTAACACCACTTCCAAGTCCAGAACACTAGAGCATAGAATCAATAAGTCTGCCGGTGTTGGTTAGACAATATTGATCTTAATAAGTCAATAAGTCATTTATTTAACCAAAATAACATATACAGTACATGCATTGGTCATGCCATTTAACAAAACATACAGTTTCTTGGTTTCAATAAGAAATAATAACTGTCTTTTTTTAACTTATACTAAGAATAACTATGATCAAACAAGTTTGATAGTTTTTTAGGCGTCAGCCTCAGCCAGGAAAGCTTATTACAGCGTCCGTAAACGCTGTAATAAGCTTTTTTTTAAAGAAAAGATTTTAAGGTTTTTTTAAATTCCAGATTGGTTTGATACTGCTTTGAGGTGAGAGGGAAGATGGTTGAACATTTTTCTTGTATTATATCGGAGATGGTTTTGAAAGAAGGAAGTGTGGTGTCTAGGAACCGGGAGGGTATTTGCGTGGATCTCAAACTATAATTATGGTCTGTTGGAGTGTTAAACTTGCCAGTGTTTTGGTGCAGAAAGGATAATATCTTGTAGGTGTAGACATGGGAACGTTAATATTTCGGATGATAGAAAAACTGGTTTACAAGTCTGACGTCTATTCATTGAAAAGATGGCTCTGATTGCCCTCTTTTGAAGGCGGAATAAAACAGAGTTCTTTTGTTCTCACACCCCCAGATAGGCAAGGCGTACACAAGATGAGGGAAGATAAGACCATAATAAGCAGAAAGAAGGACATCGGTCTTAGATAACTTTGCAAGGGTGCGGATGGCAAATATCCCTGAACGTACCCTATTGATGGCATATTGAATGTGGTCATGGAAATTAATCTCCTCCTCTAAGATCAGCCTAAGAAACTGTGTCTTCTCGTACTAGAACTTCGTCCAAGTGAAAACTAAAATACTTTGAAGATCGATCAGAGATATGAAAATTGAGAAGTTGAGTCTTTTGAGAGTTTATCGAAAGTAGATTATCCTCAAACCACTGAACACTAGCTTGTTGGCTTCAGAGAAGTTCAATTGCTCACTCTACATCAGGGCTGGACAAGGAAAGCGATGTATCGTCGGCATAAAGAATGGCTCTAGTCGATTCAACACCCGAAATTAAAATTATTTTGACCTTTTACGTCTTCAATTCGATATTTTAAACGATACTGCCCTGTTCTATGATAAATGAGGAATAACAATCGATAAAAACCCGAATATCGAAATTTTCGACCTGAGTTACTTATATTGGCCGTAAGAGCTTACTGAAAATTTTGCATCGCCGACAAGAGGCACGGCCGCCTTTAACTCCAGGCCGCGGCCTTCGAACTGGCAACGTTGCAAGTGGTGTTGTAACAGCTGTTTTGTTTGGAAGCAGCTAATGGTATTTGTGTATTTACGAAAGATTGGTTACTGGACTATGACAATATTGACTCCGCTTGAAAATGTACAGATATAGATTCCCAAGTAGCAAAAATCGTTGGCAAATCGTTGGCCCAACGTTTCTGTCGATCGTTGGCCAACGGTATGTTTTGGCACTCAGTCTTACGGTTGGCCAACCAACCAATTTTTGCGGAAGGGCCAACCATCCCATTAGGCATAAACATAAAAAACACAAAATAATATAGATTTTGTATGAAAAGCATAATTATGAGTTGAGTAAATTGATTAAATAGTTAATAAAAGCTTATTTTAAAAATAAAACGAGATAAAATTTTTTGACCGGGACGGATCTCGAACCCGGTACCTTCGACTTGTGAGCCTCACACCTTACCTCTGAGCTAACTGTGCTTGTTGATTGAGAGTGTTTTCAAGTGGTGAAAGAGTAGCCGACATGTGCAATGGTCACAATTAATACTTTAAATATTTTTGATGCTACAGTATATAATATGATTCTGTTTAGGCCTCAAGTTGTTGAATTGTTTTTCGGGGACAGCTCACTTACTCTACAGATCATAGACTATACGAGCTTTTTAAATAATATTGAAGGTTCACTTGCACTACAGGCTCGTATACTATACGAGCCTATCGAAAATAAAAAGTAAATGAAGAGGGTTCACTTACTCTACAAATCATTGTGCCTATGAGCCTCGTGTATTATATTTAAAAATACAGTAGGAAGGTTCGCTTACTCTACAGATCATAGTGACTATGAGCCAAGCTTACGAATTATTTGATAATTCAGGAATCGGCTCGTATAGTATACGAGCCAAAATAATGAATAATATAAATTATAGGAATAGGCTCGTATACTATACGAGCCTGCAGAAAAATATTAGATGGCTCACTTACACTACAGATCATTGGCACAATGATCCGTAGAGTAAGTGAACCCTCTTCAAAATATTAGATGGCTCACTTACTCTACGGCTCATTTAGCTACTCGTTGCGCGGTTTGCGTTCGTGAAACTCTAGGCGCTATGCCCGGCTTCGACTGCTGCGACTGCCTACATAAGTGTATTGCATCACCTCAATTATTTATTAAAACGAAATAAATATGTATGCACAAGTAAATTTATTACATTTTTGGACTGAATACTTTAAAAATGGAGGGAGCATAACTTTTATGTTTAATTAAATTAAAAGTTGTAGAATAAAACATATTTTGACTATGTGATTTGATCATGTTATATAATACACACTTGTATGATCCAGATACAGAGCTACAGACAAAACCTGTGGTCCGATTTAGATTAAATTTTGTATCTGGATTCATCCACGAGTCACTAATTTTTTAAGCACGGGTTGAGAAATAATGGCAAAAATTTATAAAAACAGTTCACCAGTTTAGAATATTTCTCAGTTACTGTGAGTTGCAAAAAAGTGTATACAGAAGCATTTGTGTTCACAGAAAATATAGAGGACTAGATGTATACAGAAGATATATATTAAAATACAATACGCATACAACTATCAACGTTTACATATGTAAAATTAATTAATTTGTTGTGGTATTGAGTATTTTTAACATTATGACGAAGCCTTAACAAAATATATTTTTTTAAGGAGTTCTAGGGTGTTAAACTATATTGTATTTATCTTTTGTGGAAGATTCTGTCTACGATTTATGATTGCTAACAATTTAATACAAAGATTTAAGTCTCTGTACGTGAAGACTAAAAACACGAAACAAACTTTAAAGGGATAGAAAAGATTTGATCAGGAGCTGGCGTTTGATACCTTTTGGGAATAAATATAGCCTCTACTTCAAAGGTATACATGGTGAAGTAGCCTCTGGAAGTCCATCTTCAGGTTAACAAAAACGTCAATAGGTCATCTAACCAATTTGGTTAGATGACCTAACGTCAATAGGTCATCTAACCAATTTGGTTAGATGACCTATTGACGTTTTCTGAAGATGGACTTATTTTCAAGTCCGAAACTATAGTAGTGTATTACTGAAGAAGGATCACTTGACTAAGCCAGGTAACTTAAACCATTTAGCTTAAAGTTATACAAGTTGGTTTCACACCAACATTTCATGCATATATGAAATCTATATAATTAATACGCGAACACGAAGTTTGGTTGAATCCTCCACCATTTCTAAACCGATTTTATCCACTGACGTCTCATTGGAAAGAGCGTGTTGC